GCCCGATCGGGTTCTGCGATCGAACACGACAGGGCGTTGGGAGGAGCGCCAAATCGTGCCTGGGAGGGCCTTCGTGGCTGGGGATCGGGTCGCGGCATGCTGGCTTTGGGGAAGGCAGCCATGCCCAGGCAGGAACCACCACGCGCGGAGGGGCATAGGATCGCACGACGGGCGGGTTGGGCGGCATTCCTCCTGCTGAGCTGATGCCAGAGATCGCGGCCACCGGTGTCGCGACGATGGCTTGTGGGATGCCACTCGACCGAGGAGAGCGAGCACCAGACCGTGGACTCAGCAGCGTGGCCCTGAGATTGGCTGCGCTCGATGCCCGGGTCTCTCTGCAGTCCCTGCGGCGGAGTCGAACTTTCAAACCGTTGAGGGATGAGACAAAAAGGCAGCCCAGCCTCCTGCCCTGAGGGACGGGGCGGCACCTGCAAACCAACAGGTCAGGCAGAGGACGAGAATGGTTATTCGTGTCTTCTGTGGCCTCGATGGGGTGAGCGGCAGGGGCTGCGAAGCCAAGCCCGCTATCCTGCATCCAACGGGTCAGTGCGGAAAAAACGGAAAGGAAAAGCCCACATGCTTGTACATAGATATATAGATAGATGGATGGATGGATGGATGGATGGATAGGTAGATAGATATAGATATTACATAGATAGATAGATAGATAGATAGATAGACAGACAGATAGGTAGGCGGGTAGATAGATAGGTAGATAGATAGATGGGTAGACAGCGGAGAACTCCTCCTTAATTAGAAAGAACACAAGACTGGGCCCCTTCTCCTTTGCCCGTGGCAGAAAAAACAAGTTTCGATCATCAGGTGTTTCAGCTGATTAGCCCACAAGAACCAGGAAGCGGCTTTACATCTCTCACTGCTCTGGCAAAAAACAAGACAAAGCCGCAGTCTCCTGAACAAGTGGTCTAAGGATGCAGGAGTGCATGAATGAACGACCCGACTGTTTATGTGACAGTTAAACTTGATCGAGAAAATAAGCGCAACACGGCCCTCATATTATCTCAATATGGAGCACAAACTGCATGTATCCGAAACACTACGGAACTCGTCTGTCCTTCAGAACAAAAAGGAACATAGGGTGCTGGCAATGAAAGAAGAAAAACATAGCTCCTTCGCCTCGTCATCGAAAGTACAATCTATCTTGATGCTCTTGTGTTCCGAATACAAAACGAGAAAGCTCCTTCAGCTCAGCTCACATCGTTTATCGGGATCTTTAACAAGAACGACGAGAGCTCCGAAGAAACATAAGAAGGTGCCTCTATCAGTTAGCGGAGAAGAATACCTGGCCTCGAATAGGTCAGGGAGCTCCTTTTCAGTCTCTGTGCGTGTGTGCATACACCTATATGTATACACGTACACATGGACATATACTTGTTTAATGTATGTACCTATTTTATGTGTATGTATATGTATGTATGTATGTATGTATGTATGTATGTATGTATATCTATTTATTTACTTATATTCATATTTATATGCTTTATACATATACAGACTATACGCAAGCACTATATAAAACATGCTATACTACATGAACAAGGCAACAGACATGTTGGACCACACGGCAGCCTCGGCTGTTGAGCAAAGTGCGCTCGCGTGGCATCACCTCTCAATGGCAATCGTATCGCAAAAAAACTTAAACTTCGACCTCGTAAGTAAAGGGAAGGTTCCATCTCCACTGCGATCTCCTATCATACCGGTTGCCTGATTTGGCCACCTCACACAGACTTGCTCACGCGAGGCTCTGAAAAATGCACATCGCAGTTGCCTGCGGTAGGTGGTGGGCCAGCCTCGCCAGTTTCCGGCATTGGCATGAAGGCTATACCGGTCAGTGACATTCCAGCGTGAAGATGTGTCAATACGTGCAGTCCGTGCCCTACAAACTGCTACGAATATTGCCTTGTCCGGTCTTCTTCGGACTGGGTACTGGTTTTATCTTCCAAAGCCTATGGTCCGAGTACCCAAGCAGCACCCCAAAATCCGGAGCCAAAGGCCCCTCTGAACCTTCCAACCCTACATTCTAGGCCCCATGGAACGGAGAACATTCGGAACTCCGTAGCCTGACAATCTGTTCTAGTTCTAGACAAAGGAATGGTGGGGGAGCTCTGTTTTGCGTGAGGGATCTCATAGCCTCGGCCTTGCGGTGGGACATACCCTGCTATAGATGCATATGATCTCATGAAGCTTCTCCAGTTTCCATGAGGACTTGGGGCAAGGACATAATGTTGAGTGACTCCCGCCAGTATCACTTGAGGACCAGAAGACACACGCGCCTGCTTTGCAAACTCGGCACGGCACCCAGCACTCGCATGCCAAAGACGACCACAGGTGGGCACGCCTCTTTATAGCACATGTGCGCTGAGACAGCAGCATGGCCCAAGGCTACCTTTGAGAAAGGCATCGCACTCCGACTCAGAAGCGTCCTAACCTCTGGCAGTCTGCTACCGGTGTGGTGATCCCGATGTTGACCAGCCGCTCCAACAAGCTTCTGATCACAGGTGCGGTGGGAGGCAACGTGTCCGCAGCCAAGAGCGGCACGCAGCCGAGAAATACAACCTGGTTTGCCCCTGCCCGGATGAAAGCGAGCTTGATTCAAGAAGCCAATACCCAGGTGGCGGCTCAATTTGCCAGTATGCATCTGCCTTCTCAACAAGCTCTTGCGAGTATGCTTCTGCCAGGTTTGATGATCGCACTTTTGCCTCGAGTCGAAGAGTCGAGTGCGCAAGGAACTCGTATGCGTCGCTCGAATACCACGCTGTCGGAGCACTCTTTCGGCCTCTCACGCTAACTGCATGTCGCTCCTCGCTGCTGCTTTCGATAGCCTCGAGATGATACTGTCTGCGAGAGAGGCAGCACGTGCCTTCCCAGATCAAGGCGTCGACCAAGTCTGGGCTGGGAAATGGCAGATCAGAAAGCAAGACGGCGAGCTTCGCATCCAGGTTTAGTGGGAGAGCCTGCTTGAAAACGTCCTTCGTCTGATCTTGTGCCACTCCAGCTTTCAACAGCTTCGAGATGATACTGCGAGAGACGCATCGCCTTCATCTGCAGCAAGATGCGGTGAAAGCTCCACGCGTGCACAGGTGGAGCCCCTCCCACTGAAGCTCGAGGAGGCTGAGCCCAGGGCAATCTGCGTGGAAGAACGGAGTGTGAGGCTTCCGGCATCAAATCGCTTGGCGACATCTTCGCGGCTCCTGCCGCGAGACTCTAGCAGGATGCCAGGAGATGCCGATGCTGCGAGGCCGAACATGGCTTCCTGTGTCTCTCTCAGAGGAGCTTTGTCCCTGGGGAGTCGAAAGGCAAAGGAGGGCGAAGCTGCAACCAAGTGGCAGATGCCGGCACGGATCCCACTCCGATGATTGTCTTTCTACTACTATTGCTATGGCTATTACCATGACGATTACTATTCTTACTACTCCTCCTCCTCCTCCTCCTCCTACTACTACTACTACTACTACTACTACTATTGCTATTACTGTTACAATTACTATTGCTATTACTATTGCTGTTACTATTACTATTCCTATTGCTATTACTATTACTATTACTATTGCTATTACTAGTAGGACAAGGGAAGGGTGAGCCCGGAGAAGCAACACAAACACTCCCCGGACTCGAGCCTCTTCCATCCTCCGGACCTAGCCCTACAATGCAACTAGCCCTGTCGCCCATGCAGCGGAAACGTCTTTGTGAGCTTCTGATGCTACAGCAAGAACAAGAATCCAGTCGGGCATCGAAGGTGCCGATCTCTTCAATGGGGTTACACTCTGCTCGTCTCATCAGGTTCAGCTACAGTACACAGCTCGGTTCATCTTTATTGCTTCTTCTTGCACGGCGCTCGGTGGTGCCGGCAGAGAGCGAAATTTGGTGCCTGAATCGTCCTAAATCTGCGTGCAGGTGACACGATCGTCAGAGACGCCGACTTCTCAGATGTCCGGATCGAGCTATGCCCCAAAGCTATGTGTAGAGCTTGTTCCACTCGCTGATCGGAAATCACGGCCTTAGCCAACAAGCTAGGCCACGCATGAATACTTCAACAACTTCTGCACGACTAACCCATAGCCTGAGGTGCAGAAGCTTCAACAACCAGGGATGACGAATCGTCTTGTAGTCCTGACAAAGTACATGGAGGCATGGAGCCAAAGCACCACATTCATAGTAAAGGGCATGTCTTGTTCATTCTTTTTCCTGTCTTCACATCAGTTCATCATTTCCGTCAGCTAGCAGCTAGTGAAACGTCTCACCATGGAGTCTCTTTGCGGCCACATCAAAGTGCCAGCCTCTGGGAAGAACGGCTTAACGGCCTCGACGTAAGGTTCCGATCTTTCTCCGCACGAATGACACGTCGGCAGCACGGCGCGCTTGGCAGAATCCCACGTTCATCGATTCAGAGCTTGATGACGTAATGAAAGCTCTCTCGCTCGCGCGGCAGCCGGGCTCCCGACTCTTGCAAAGCAGGAGTGGCACAGTTCGACGTTGAAGCGATGTCTTACCCGGTTTTTTAGGGAACCAGCTTGTCCTGCACAGAGTTGCTGTCGCCTCCACCCCAAGGATCTCCCCATGTGACCACTCGGCCATCGTTCCGAACTGCAGCAAAGGCACCGCTCGCAGCATGGATGCGGTGCAGGTCGGATAAACTGCCCTCCACCATGGAGGAGTCTCCTCCTGCACCAGGATTCCCCCATGTCACCACTGTACCGTCCTCCTTGATGGCTGCAAACGCCCCTTCAGAGGCATGGATTTGCTGTACCTCGACGAGCAACGGCGCGACGCTTGAGCAATCACCACCAGATCTGGCACAGCCCCAGGCGACCACGCTACCGTCCTCCTTGATGGCAGCAAATGCCGCATCCGTCGCAACCAACCTAGCTCTCAGTCTATCTTACACACCTGGACCGTGTACTAAAGCCGCGTTAAGCATATGCTGAAAATGGAAGACTATCAGTAGCAATCTAGGCGAAGAGAGGTTGTTGGACCCAAGCCGCTGTCGCACGTTGCTCAACCTTAAGGCGCAGGAAGGCCGAAACACAGACAGTGGAGCCAATCAAGAGGCAGATACATCACATACACACTGAAGCTGCTGCTGTTGCTGGCTGGCGTTGGAGGAGGAGGACTCGAATCAGTACACACTAATTGAAGCCGGGAAACTGAGTCTGAACGGCTTGGCAGTTGCCTCCAGAGTCCCTACAGCCCCAGGTCACGACCGTGCCATCACCTCGCACTGCAGCAAAGGCATCTTCCGTCGCCAAGATTTGGAGGACATCCACAAGCTCCACACTGCTGCAATCACCGCCTGCACTGGGCGCACCCCAGGTCACAACCGTCCCGTCCGTCTGCATAGCCGCGAAGGCTCTGGCTGTAGAGTGGATCTGACAAACATCAACGAGGCGCTCCTGAACATGAGAACTATTTCCCCCACTGGCCAGGGCTCCCCAAGTCGTCACACGGCCGTTCAGCTTCACCGTGGCAAAGGCAGAACGGTTCGCATGGATCTGCTGCACATCCAGCAACTCTCCCTGCACAGCCGTGCTATCGCCACCCCCCGTGCTGGCGCCCCAAGTCACAACGGAACCGTCACTGGTTATCGCTGCAAAGGCGGTGCTGGACGAATAGACTTTCTGCACATTTTTGAGCTTTTCATGAACTGCGGAGCTGTCTCCTCCATTCTCGGGATCTCCCCAGGTGACCACCGAACCATCAAGCCGGATTGCAGCAAAGGCCGAGTTTGTAGCAGAAATTTCGACGACGTCGAAGAGCATATGGCTAACATCGTGGCTGTCACCTCCAGCCACGGCCGAGCCCCAGGTGACTACGCTTCCATCCGCCCGGATGGCAGCACAAGCGAACTCGGAGATGTGGACGTGCTGGACGTCGACCAACTGTTGCTGAACAGAGCGGCTGTCTCCACCTCCGTGTGGAGCTCCCCAGGTCACGACATTCCCCGCAGCCCCGACGATGGCCGCAAATGCCCGCGCCTGCAACAGCTGAGGGTTTGGTGATGGCAGACCCGTTTCTGCTTGGCAGAGGCATCGCTAACCCCATAAACCCTAGTGTGGAATGCTTTCCAAGGCGGATTCGACAGCCGGTGCTGCCAACTTGGGTTGTTTCTGGGGTTTAGTCGTATTTCGAACAACACAGCACACTTGGGTGGGATCGTTTGAAGTAGCGCATGTTGGTAAGCACGAAATCCGAAACTAACACCTGAACCCCAAGCCTTAGACCCTAGACCCGTCGTTGCAGCCCCTTCCTTCCGCAGCCCGTAAACCAAAAACCAAAGAGTCACAAACCCCAAAAGTGTTTAGAGCAGTGATTTAATTGTTTAATAGTGCTACACCGCACTCGAACGGAGCATAAGCCCCCGAGCCAAATCCATAAGTCGAAGCGCCAAAACTGTAAAAGCCGCGGAACCCCTGAACCCTCAATAAACTGCGGACGGCAAAAGGAGCATAGCAGAATAAAACAAAGACACAGATCGCGGGGAAGAGCAAAAACTGGGACTGCGGCTTCCTTCTACCCTTAACCAGGCAAGTTTCCAAAAGCATAGGAGAAGTCGCTCAGTGCTACCTCGCGAGGGGCGCTCTGGACCCTGCCTTCCTGTAGGACTCCATCACAGGACCTGGCACCCGGATGTCTAAGCCTTATTGCACGCTTAAACCCTATGAACCCCTCAACACTATGAAACCTAAACCCTGTGAGATGTAAACCCTGTAACCCCTAAATCCTGCAAACTGTAAAGCCTACAAGCCAGAAAACCCATAAACGCAGGCCCTAAAACCTGCAAGCACCCTAGGCCTTCTAAACTCCAAACCCTGTAGACCCCAAAACCCTGCAACGCTCCAAGCCTACCAGGCCTACCCTAAACCGCAAGACCCTACAAAAGCGCACATAGTGAAGCCCGACCGAACCCTGCAAACCCTAAACCCTACCACGACCTCCACCCAAAAAGCACTCAGCCCCACAAACTCTCAACCCCTCAAATCTATCGGGGTTTATAAACCCCAAAAAACCTAAACCCCTAAATCCTAAAGCCTAAACCCTAAATACCCCTCCACGCCCCAAACCCCAAAACCCAAACCCACCAACGCACCTGGCTCCCGGATGGTGGCGCTCAGCACATCGCCATCCTGGAGCCCCGCTTCGCAGAGCCTGCTGGGGCCGTTGAGCCTCAGGCCTGGCCGTGCCGGGGGGCTTAGGGCTAGGGCTTCATGGGGTTAAAGGGCTTAAGTTTTAGGGGGTTTAGGGTTTTGGGGTTTAGGGTTTAGGGGTTAAGTGTTTAGGGTTTTCGGGCTTAGGGTTCAGGATGTAGGTTCGATTTTTGTTTAGGATTCTGGAGATTGGCGTATCGGATAGTAGTCAGTAGTTAGGATATAGCACTAGCGATATAGGTTTAGGATTTGCGGTTTAGGATTTTTCAGAAGAAATCTAAACCCTCCCTTAAACCATAGATCGCTCTAAAAATGCCCTGAATCCGTAAAAGCTTCGAAACCCCCCAACCCCCACAGCCTTAAGCAGGCGACCTTGAAACCCGAGACCTCAAGCATCCGGGTAGTTCTCTAGATTGGGGTCCCTTTTTGGTCCCAAAAAATAGTACGGCACCCTTGCTTGCAAAGGCCCCTTAAAGGGACCCTCATTTAGAGACCTACCTACGGCACCCTTTCACCCTTTTTGAAAGGGCCCTTAAATGGACCCTAATGTAGAGACCTACCTACGGCACCCTTGTTTGCAAAGGCCCCTTAAAGGGACCCTAATTTAGAGTATCTGTTAAACCCTAAACCCTTTTAAAAAGACCCTTAAAAGGGACCCTAATTTAGAGACCTACCTACCTATCTCCCTTAAAGGGACCCTAATTTAGAGACCTACCTATCTATCTGTTACTTAAAGGGACCCTAATTTAGAGAAGTACCTATCTGTTACCAGGCGAACCATGGGCTGGTGGAGACCCAAGGGTGTTGGATTTAGGGTCTAGGGGTGAAGGGTTTAAGGTTTAGGGTTTCGGGTTTCGGGTTTACGGGTGAAGGGCTTAAGGTTTAGGGTTCAGTGCTCAGGATTTTTGCAAGGCTCTTTGCCTCAGATATGCAGCCCTGAGCTGTAGGAGTGCCGGGCCGAGCGGTTTAGGCTTTAGGGTTTAGGGTACGACCATCGGTGTTGTAGGCTTTGTATTTTTTGTTATTGCTCTTAATGCTGCTGCTGATCCCTACCAGCAATGAGGAATAAACTCAATATCCGTATTTTCAGGATTCTGTACTTTAGCCGTGCTATTTATATGTCTGAGCATATTACGGCTGTGTGGTTACTTGCCCTTTTAAATTGTTATTATCCTTGCTGTATTGGTTGCTGTTCTGAGTACCCTCATGTTCCTTCTTACCCTACTCACAATATAGTTGCCATGACTACTACAATTGCGAATCTGCTTCAACTATGGCTGATGCTAGAGTCCGCTCCTCCATGCTCAACAAACGCCCCTCCTTCGAAGGTCAAGCTCCACCGTCACAGATGTTTGCTCACACCAGCTGCTGAGCTCGAAATCCGGAACTCTAAATCCAAGTCACCTGTACTGTATCCACAAAAGCCCACACCACTACATCTAGATCCCAAACACTTCCCACCTGAACTCCACAGATTTCATGAGACGGTCCAGATCTCCCCACACCAGGCCCTAAATCCCAAAGCACAGTGTGCCTCCTGGAGAAATCAGAGCCTTCAGGCAGTCGGACTTTTATTGTCAAACGCCATCTAATCTAGGGGGCTGACTGGGGCTGACTAGTTATCACAAGGCTTTGGGGGTCATCACGCAGACTCAATAAATCAGAATCCTAAGGGGCCCCGTGAGTATCAGTTCAACTATGAGAAGTTCTGACAGTTGAAGGAAGATTCCCTGGCTAAGGGGTACTGGACTTTGCGGGAAATGTATAAGATTACAGAAGCCCCAATAATGAACCATACTATTCCTTATGTTTGCATCGCCTTTTTGCGCATCTTTTACCTCCTTTGTAAGGCATTGATGTGCCATGCTGCCTTGTGCTCATCTTGGAGAGTGATGGATCTTGAATTTTGCTCTGCTGCGCCACGCGCTCAAGGTGGTCTGCACTGTTTTGACATCCCATGCTCTGCTGTGCATTTCTGCGTTACACTCGCATCGTTGTCCATCCACGTCCCACCGCAGCCTGCCGCATCTGGAACCTGCATGCACCAATTTCCCTGTCCTCAACTCCTGATGGCGGGTGGGTAGACAGTACATCTTACTAAAGACATTTGAAGCCCGAGGCGATATCTAAGCCCCTAAACCTCACAAAAGCTTGCAGCCCTGTCTTTCCAAGAAATCTGAATCCGCAAACCCGTTCAAAAAGTCTGAGCCAGATCTGAACAAAAACAAAAGCAACTCAAAGCCATCCATGAATGGCAATGATGATAACGAAATGACACTTGTAAAAGAAACCAGTCATAATCAACGACATCAAGAGCCCAAACGACCTAATTCCCGAGGAAAGAGCCCAAACCCCAGACCATTTAAAGCCTAAACCCTGAACTTTAAACCCTTGATTCAACTTGAAACCTAAACCCTTAACCTTAAACCCTATAACCCCTAAACCCTAAACCCTAAACCCAAAAACCGGCCCGTTTGGGCCTTGAGGGGCCGACCCAGTGCCGACTCCGCTGCCCGGCGCAAAGCGTGGACCGGGCGGTCCGAGGCCAAGGCAAGCTCGGCCCTTTTAAGCGGGTGAGGGGCTGAGGGTTTAGGGCTTTGTGCTTTTATTGGCTTGTCCCGAGAATTTTGGGCTGAGGCTTTTGGGCTGAGGGTTTAGCGTTTAGGGTTTGGGTTCTGGGCTGAGGGTTTTGGGGCTGCGGGCTTAGGGTTTATGGGGTTTGGGTTTTGGGCCGAGGGTTGTGGTCTGAGGGTTTAGGATTTAGGGTTCAAGCGCTTTTTGTAGGCGGGGCTTAGAGGTTTAGGCTTTAGGCTTTTGTTATGAACTTTGGGTTTAGGGTTGAGGGTTTAGAAAGCTTTTGAAACAGGCATCTCCCTCTTCAAAGAGGGTAGAAAGAGGGTGTTTAAAGACTTTGCTGGGCTTTCTAGTCCAGACCTTTAAGACTAGAGGCCTGGCTTTGAAGGGGACTGCACTAGGGGTGTATAGGTTTTTGCGACATGGTTGCTCATCAGATTGAAAAGATTGTAGAGGGGTCCTACAAAAGAATTTAACAGGAGGCTTAACACATTTCGAAAACCTCATATGTTGTACTGGGCTTCTGAAAGCAAATGTGGCAGTGTTTCGATAGCTGTCGCTACTGCTCCTGCTGCTACTAGGACGATGCCTTCGAGTACTGCCACCACTACGACTGCTGCTACAGCCACTGCTGCTGCACTACCCATCACCACTGCCACGACCCCCGCCACCTCCACCAGCTCCACCACCACTAGCACCACCACACCACCACCACACCACCAGCACCACCAGCACCACCTCCGCCACCACCACAAAAAACAGCACCACTCCCACATCATCATCATCATCATGATCATGAACATCATCATGCTCGCCGTCGTCGTCGTCATCACTATCATCATCCCTGTCGTCATAAACAGCATCATCACCATCATCATCATCATCCTCACCATCATCAGCATTAGTGGTAGCATCATTCCGAACGGTCAACCACTGTCCGTGAGCAACCTAGCTTCGCTTGAGCTCGGTGTGACGGCCCCTTAAAGCTTTCCGGTGTTGGATTTTGCAAAACCTTGATTCGCGGTCGAGGGACGCCAACTTCGCACACTTTTTGCAGGCACCCTAAACCCTAAACCCATTGAGTTGTTCAAGATGGGGATTTCCGGTCAAGTCTCAATTATAGCGTCAAGGTTGTCTTTGCACAGCCAGCTGATTGAAAGATCCAGATTCGGAAAGATACAGTACCCGTAACCTGAGAACTCTGACTCCAAAGTAACCTGGAGGCCCCAATCCGTGATGAGTGCCTCTGCCCGCTG